TTTTTCTGAAGAAGCCAAAAAAGCTGAAAAAAAAATAATTATTCCCAGTTACTAAAATCAAGCACCCAGACACCCTTTAGTACACAACAGCTATGCCTTCTCCTCTCTGAAGGTCATGTGGCTGATGTTTACAATCTAAGGATTTAGTTATGAGTCAACATATGTATTTTTTTTTTATCAGTAGCAATGGGTGAAAAGAAGTAAATCCTTTCTTCCTCTTGTGAGAGTCTGTGTATATTTTGGAGCACAGACACAGTAGAGTCCTTGTTCCAGCAAAATCAATGGGACTTTTGTCATTGGCTTCCACTAGTTCACAAGGGATTTCACTCACAGTGACTAATGCTAGAGGTGTGTAACTACTGTATTGCAATAAATAAATAGTCCAGCAATTAAATGGTTTCAGAACTCACATACTTGGAAAACCTGACATGTGGTAACTTCTATTTGGAAGTGCAAATGCATACTAAAATGTATACCACATGTTAAAGTTCTCAGCAACAATACCCTTTAACTTTAGTTTTACTGTCAAAGCACCAATTCCACCAAAGGCTATGGGGGCAACAGTTCCAGCATTGCAGCCTTTCACAGATAGTAGCACCCTTCAATCCAGAATGTTTTTCTGCAGTATACAGTTGAAATTTAATTTCTCTACCATATGAAAAATTGAAATACTTAAGTAATAACATTCAGCAACATCATCTGCCATCTGATAGTGCACAGAAACTGGGCAATTATGTTTCGCCTCGGGTGGCTAATAGGCCCATTTCAAATTTCAGGCATTATCAGATAATAACACTGCCTGCATCTGAGTATGTTATTATAATTATTAACCGTAAAGAAATAGAGGGAGGGAGGTGGGGGGGCGAAAGGGGGGAGGGAGAGGGAAAAGGGAAGGATTGTTTTTAATTATTTAATTTTGAAGTGCAATGAGATAAATTCATTGTTCCCCATGAGCTAACATTCAGAGACGGAGTGCTGGCATCACTGCAAATTTAACTCAGTTCAGACTGACTAGCTTTCAGATTCATAAAACCTTATCATTGCTATTTGGAATAAGTGGGTCTCAAGTGAACCTTGCCTAGAAACATTACATGGGAATAAAAATGGTAATGGAAACAGACACTCTGAGGAATTTTCCTATAGGAGCCAGTTTATTTCTGATATCATAGTTAAAAATGGAGTTCAGTATTCCTATTTTAAATCCATTACTATATTTTAATTATTTAGCATTCAAACTGCTAGGATGTGGACTTTCAGATCTGGAATGAAACACAATCTGGAAGAAATTAGAAATATCCTTCACATTTATAAATGCCAAAATATAGGGCCACAAGTATATATAAGCTTAAAAAGTGGACATATAGCTTGTGGGAATAGGGGCCTTTAGTCAAAGTTGCACTGGAGGCCAGCAGTGTGCTTTTGTGGCCTGGGTGAAAATATGTAAAGGCAATATGCAGCTAATTGGACCAGTTTCCCATCCTCCATTCCTGTTCCCATGGCAAAAATGACATAACACCTGGGTGTAATACACAATTACATTTTCTAGATTTATAGTGCTTCAGTGCATGGAAGGAATATTAAATATATTCCTTACTACAGAAAATAATGGAAAGTTTAATAGAAAAATTATTAAATAAAATTACGTAGTGCAGAAATCAATATCAAGCTGTATATCAATAGGCCTTCACATCTCTCTGTTTACTGTTTCCGTGATATTGGTATTTCTCAAAGCTCGAGGCTCAGAGATAGCATGTAAAGTGCTTTTAAGAATTCCTTTTTTAAAATTGTAATTTTCTGTAAGAAAAGCTTCAGAAACAGTGAGGTAAGTTTACACTTTTGACCCAAACGAAAGAAAACATCAAGACTACCTAATGATTTAAACCTTTTTCATTATTTCATGTGAGACTGCTCATTTCGAGTCTCAAAGGTCATTAGTATACAAAAGTACTATCATGCATGAGAATTGATTGCTGCGTAAAAATGAATTTAACACAGTGCGAGAGAGACAGAGAGAGAGAGAGACAGAGTCAGTTAAAAACAAGTATTTTTCTAATCACCTGAAGACAATTCTCCATCTGAATAGTTGCTGTGACTCACATCAAACCCCCAGCTTCAGGCTTCCTCCGGTGCCACCATCTCTCCCCAGCCTTCATTTGAACCTTTTCACATTCTAACTTTATGCCTCTTGCTTCTTCCACTATCATATCTCTGTCTGTGAATGTGCTACAAATAGCAGCACTTGTGTGAAAAATATTGATGTGAAGAATTCTGTTTTCAGTGGTGTCCATTTCTCTCTGAATACTGCATTTATCTCAAAAAAAAAAAAAAAAAAAAAAAAAAAAAAAAAAAAACCTGCAGTTATACAAAAACAAGAAAAACCTGCTTCCCCGTGCAGTGTTAGATGGTGGCTGTGAAGGAAGATGGTGGCACTTCAGGAGGCTCATGACACCAGACAGCTGGGTGTTGTTCCTCCAGATCACTCCAAAGCAGAGCAACTCTCCCTCCCTCAAGGCTGCTGCACTGGTTAGGACGCAGTGCTTTATGTTTTTCCACTAACCAGTCGTAAGTACACATGTAAGTTTAGTTGTAAGTGATAAGGCAAATAGATTGCAAGGTCTTGGACTCACCAGCAGCTGGTCTGATGAAAAACAGGATCCCCTTCTGAACTTGACCTTGTGAGCTTTCACAAAATAGCCTTGTGAGCACTCACATAGTCAGTGCCAGCATTTTGCAGCTCCTCTCATCATCTGCTCCAAGAACCTGTGTGGTCATCTGCAGTGCTTCACTCCTGAACTGCCTGGAAGATTTTGCTGTCCAACCAGTTCAACCTTTGTTTCCAGATCATGTCCAAAGCAAACAACTCAATAAAAGAGAGGATTCTCCCAGCATATGCCTTTTTTGGGCTTATAAAAACTGAGAACATTAGTAACAGAGAAGGGTCAGCCAAAAGACATACTGAATTATAATCTCCGTTGTATTGATGCAGAGACTGTGACCACCATGAGACTGCCTTACCTTGGTCTGCACAAGAGCTCATACAAAGCAATACTGCTCATGACAGTCCTGAACCATGAACATGCCACATGCAGGTGGCTGCATGCAGTGGATGATGGACATCCAACCTGAAGCCCTGCATCAGTATTACTAGCCCTGTGTTTCCAGCTTGCACAGTAGCTACAGCCATGTGCTTGTCTGGAAGTAGAAGCAAGTTGAGCTTTTGAAAGATATATCTTTGGTTAGCTGTTTACTCTAAAAAGACATTTTCTAACTAGCAGGGAATTCTTGCAAAGGTGTTTTTTCAGGGCCTTACAAGTAGTTTTTGAATAAGATGTATGCAGTTATTTAATGTTTCAGACTCTCAGCACCACAAAAGTACACAGAAAGGCTGTTGGAAGTCTTCCATTGCTGCAGAGAACAGCAGGTCAGCAAATACTTTTTTTTTTTTTTAAAGTACATTATTAATATGGTACTTAGCAAATTCTGAATGGCAGATTACTTGCTAGCTTGCAAACACTCCATATATTTAATTTTAAGGTATTCAATTTGGCTTGCTTAAAATAGAAGCAAATCTAATTACATCTTTGAAAAAAATGATTAAAAAAAGGCAGAAATAAAACTATTTACTGTACCAAACCTCTTCAGACATAGAAGTCTTCTTCCTTTTTGTTCCTCTCCTCCCCAATATTTTGAAATGGCACTGTCCCAAGATACAGCAATCCAGTTTGTTCAGTGACCAAACATTCCCCTATGCCTGGAGGATTAACTTGAACTGCTACACAGCCAGAATCAATTCACAAAGCTGACATCCAAGCACCCTCTGAAGGCTGCAGTACCTGGAGTGCCTGAAATGCCATTATCTCTCCCTGTAAGTGGGGATTCTCAAGAGGTAGAATCACTTTTTCCCTGGCCTGTTTTCAACAGCAACATGTCAGGTTTTAATTGCCTAAAAGGGTCTTAAATTTACAATGCTTTTCCCAGGTTCTTGGATAATTTAAATCCTTGACTAGTTCATTAAAAGGCCATTTGTGATGAGGCAGGCTGGCACATCTATCACTTAGCACACTCAGACAAGCTAGGAATAGAAGTAAGTAAACAGCATCCGCTCCATGTGACACTGCAGAAATGCTTCTGAGCAAGAACAGGTGGCAGAAGGGCAGGAGCAGGTCAGTATATGGGGGGCTCAGTTCTAGCTTGAACAAATATATGAGGTGAAAAATCCTGGCTTTAGTGAAGCCAGTGGCAAAATTCCCATAGCTTTCAATGGGACCAGATTTTTCTGTCATAGTAACTCAGTTAATTCCAGAGGGTTCCTACAGAGTGGAGATTTTAACAGGTTAATGTAAATAGATAGCTGTTCTGTAAGGGTCCAATATAGCTCAATGGGAAAATACAAATACAGTAGAGCAACAGCATGCAGCTTTGGCTAGACACCTTCCTCAGTGTTTTGCATGTTGAGGGTGTGTTCTCTTTGTGTCTGTGTATTACTTTGAAATGATTACAGACAGTGGTAGAAACCTGATGTAAAGGAGAATGCACGAGATCAGTGAAAATTAGTTTCCTGATGAATGGAAATAGACCTCTAATACAAATGGAAAAGATACATTCTCAAGACATTTGGGACTGACTTTGAGAGAAAAGAGTAATTGCCTAGAAGGATTAGCCTCTTGTACAGGTTCTGCTTTCCATAAAAAAATAATCCTAGAACCTACTATTTTAAAATTTGGAAAATATTAATATTTTCAAAAGTTTTGGATAAAGTAGTTAGGAAAATAGAAAAGCTCAGCTCACATCTAATGACTATGTATATTTATACGTGTAGGTGGTGATCATAGACACTATTCTGTATTCATATATACATATATATGCAGCAGTAATGAGACCCATAATGCAACCACCCAAATCGTTCTTATGTGAACACACATTTGTTGTGCACACTCACTTCCTGAATGTTGCAGGACCCTGATCGCAGACATTTCACCAAGGCAGGACTGCTTGCAAAATTCCAATTTTTAATATCAACCATTTTATTAGCAATTATGCTTGGTGTTTACATAGCTTATAACTGATACTTTCTGGATGCTGAGAGGATTCCCTTTACAGAAATGACATACATTAGTGGTATCACAGTTTTTTGCCACGAGTTTGGCACTATAGAGTGACACAAAGTTTCGGTCTGGAGTTCAGCTTAATCTTGTGCTATTCAAATATTAGATGCTGCTGATAGCTCTAATGAACTTTTCAAGTATTTAGCTTTTGGCTGTTAGGTAAAAAGAATGTGAAATCTGGGTGCTGCAATTTGCAGCTTACCAGATGGTTATGGTGGTGAAGTGCGACTGTTCATTTCTAAAAGTCTAGGTATTTATATTTTCCCAATTTACATCTTTCCATCACAGTTTAAATTAAGCAGTGTGTTTAGCTTCTATTCACACATTTCCCAAGGAGACTGAAATAGGAAATGTCCTTTAAAACTCTTATTTTTAAAAAAATCTGTTTCCTTTCCCCCTCCCTTGAAAATTTTATTCACCTTGTAAAACATCTTCAAAAAATATGATCTCTTTTTGATTTATTTTTCTTTAACAAGTAAAAATTATCCTGTTTTGGTTTTCTTACTTTTACTGTCACTATGCACTACAACAAAATAGCAAGAAAATGATCCATCTCTGTACAGACTGTTTATTACTAAAATTAATATGTATTTGAACTGCTGCTTCTTTTTCTTGAAGGCTCATGTTTGTCTTTAATTAAAGAGAAAGGATGTGTTAGCTCCATCAAATCTTTATTGTTTGATCTCATCAATTTAGAAATAAATGTTTTTTTCTTGTTCATTCAGACATTAAATCACCACAACAAATCCAAAGGCCTACTGCATTTTTGATTTGTTTATGGGATTCATGCTTTCTTTTCTTTAAAGAATGTGTCAAAAAACAGTGATATTAAGACAGTTATGCTTTAGGACTTTAGAAAAGGGAGCATAGCATAGGGAGATTAGTTGCAGGCAACTCAGGATGTTTTATAACACTGTGTAAACATTGACGTTAATAAAGGATCAAACAGAGTTAAATGTTAAATGTGGGATTGCTTGACATTGCCCCACCTCCCTTCAGTGAAGGGAGTACTAGTACACCCAGATGGTTAGCAGCCTGAATGCAAGCTAAATGCACATCCTACCAGCTCATTCACACTATGCTTCAGTTCATGTTCATGATCAATTAATTTGCTATGGCATTCTTTCTTCATCCACGAACTGCACTGTAACTTATGGCCTCCTTTCTCCTCCAGATAGCTACAGTCTTCTCAGAGACAATGCCTTTTCTGGTTTGGTTTTAAAATTTTCCAGTTAGATTAGATTCCAGTTAGATGAAATTTTACTGCCATACAACATTTCTCCTTCTGGCTGTCCCTGCTTTCTTGCTCTGTATCTTTACATGCTGAACTCACAACATTTCTTTTAAGCAGCATCTTTCTATTTTCTTCATGCCAGTTCTGTCATGTTTGGTCCTTTGGGGTTGTTCACACTGAAACAAGGAAGAGAAGGGATATGGTAAATTGTGAACAGAAGATATTTTATATGTTTGTTTACTTCCTCTTTTTAAAAACATTTTCTTCAGATTACTTAATGTCTTCTTCATATTGCAGTTGTCTTTTATGTTGGAGTCATTTATGAAATCCCTGCTGAAGAATTCTATCTTGAAAATTAGCCAGCTTGGGACTAGAACAGTTAGGAAATAATATCATTACGATGCAGTAATGTGTTAATAGTGCTATTATAGCTTTGTAATTCCTACTGTTCTCATATCCCTGGCCTGCTATATTCTGATTTTTCCTTGCACTAAAGGAATTGCTATAGCAACATACCTTCAAACATGTATGATTAATATTTTATATGCCCATGACTGACTAGATATTTGTTCCAGACATAGCATATTGAAAAACAAGATGGAATACCTGCCATGAATCCACAGAATAGAAACTGATTTATACAGGGAGAAAAATAAATCATAAATTGAATAAGAACAAGAGAAAATAAAATTTCATAGATTCAGAATATAGGCAAGTTGATAAAATATGTTGTAATGTTTTGATTTTCAAGTATAGCAGTCTTATTCTAAAGAACAGCAAATATCACACGCCATTTTAGTATTATACAAAACAAACAAACAAACAAACAAAGTTATTTTTTCCACATAGGAAAATAACTGCATCACATACCTTTCTTCAGCTGTGTACAGATGTCCCAACTCAGCAGACAGATTCTTTATCAGACCCTAGAGAAGATACAGATGTCTCAGTCCAGAAGCCCAAGGACTGGTAGCATTTTCAAATCCAAAATTAAATGCATCATTGGGCCTACAGTCAAGGAGGTGCGAATAATTTTTCTTCTGATCAATTTCAACCTTGCTTAATGTAACACAGAGTTTTGTATAACTAACTAGAGCTGCCATTCTTGGTCAGGACAGGCAATAAGAAGTATATACTTTTCCTTTTTAGTCCCCACAGCTAATCATACCCAATTCACCATTAACAGAAGAGGACGATAGTTATTAGAGGCTTATTAAAGTTCTTCTCAAAAGTCCACCAATATGTATGATGTTTCCAATGGCAGCACTCCCTTATCTCATAAAGTAAAAAGCACCAGGCTCTCTCCCAGTGCACTTCCAAATTTCATCCTTTTAAAACACTGAAGAAGGAAACCAAGCCATGCAGTGGCTGTGGTAGCTGTCAAGACCAAAACTGCCATATTGGCTCTGGACTCACAGCTCACAGAATCACTGGTATGCTTACATGCCACATGCATTCAACTGAAGTCTTTGAAACAGGGTGTTGGGTGTGTGGGAGCTCCTACTATGCAAGTGTAAATTTCACACTACAGATGGTCAGTGCAGAGACTGGCACAACAGGGCTAAGCAGTGAAAATGCAAAATATCTGTGGACCTCTTGACTTTCTGGAGCATTAATTTCCAGCCCATTGGAATGGACTTCAGTCCATTCTTGACAAGCTCTATTAACATGTGTTTTGTGCACACAGAACATGCTTATTCATAGTGCAGGAGAGAGAGGGTTTGTCATGCAAAGCATGGAAGTTAAATAGGGGGGCAAAGTGTTCTGAACTTTTAAAACCATCTCCCACTTAGATTGCATAAAATCCCATGCTCTTGAGAAAAATGCAGAAATCTGATACTGTAAAGCACAGGATATTGGGGACATCACTGATATTGGGGACACCACTTTGCTTTTAACATTTCTAGACCTGGGAACATTTTTCTGCTGCCAATTTCTTGATGTTGAATGTGGTACTCATGTACAGTCTATGCTAACCTTACAGCGTGTGCTTATGATACACTGCTGACAATCTTCAGGCCAAAGAGTCAAGGCAGGTTTGTCTAACAGAATCGTATATCTGTCCAGTTTATAGAGACCCAAGCAGACTGTATCTCTGAGCAGTTAAATAAGAAGATAGCTGTTTGGGTGAGTGCAGCTTCATATGAACAGTTGCTTGTCCTTTTAGCTGAAAAACTACTTATGTCCAAGTGCTCAGATCATTCAACAAAATCTCAGATTACTCTGTTTCAAGGTTTTGTGGGCTCACAGCTTTCTGTAGCCTTTAAGCTCTGACACACTATTAGGCAAGACTGCTGCAAAAAAAAAAAAATAAATGTCCCTAGCTTCTGTTATTATGTCAAAATTTGTAAACACTTATTGTGACAAGCCTAAGGTTCAGACAGCCATTTGGTATCAGGATGCCACAAGGCTTGTGCCTCAATTTCCTTCCTGGCAATGCTAACTGATATTTTCCAAATAGCTGTCCGCGATCTTGCACAGCCTCTATGTCTTTGGATGCTTCATCCTGAGCATTTATTCAAACTAACAGTTCATCAGCCATAGATCTATAAATTCTCTATAAATTCTCCATCTCACCCCAATTTCCAAAAACAGGGGACGGAAGGGTAGGGAAGAAGGGGGGACAATATGGGACAGGATTCTTTATCACTTAAACAAGCAAACTTCAGTTGTCTGACAACCGTTAATTTAAGTGGATGCAGTGGTGTGACTCTTTGGCAGAATGGATGAAAGACCTAAACAAATGATAAACATCAGCCATCAGTGATGGGAGGCAAAGAAATAAACTAGAGTATTGAGGGAGCTTTCATAGAAAAGTCAAAGTCTTCCTGAGCCATCACTGCAGGTTTCACTAGAGGACACAAAACTTAATCTGAGAGTTTCTCATTACTGATCATTACCTGAGTGTTGCTTGCCAGTTCAAGTGTTGACTGCTTTGGGGAAGCAAAGAGAAGAATGGGATAAAACAGGTAGATGAAGAGCAAAGGAAACCTCACCACGCTGTGTGATCCACTGCCTCATGCTGTTACACATCTTGCACCATCCATTCTTGTTGCAGAATCCCAGGGAAAGTTGGGGAAAGGACAACTTCATCCTGTCACTTTAAGGTTATATGCTCTTAGAACCATATTCTCAAGAGGCCTCTTTTTCTTTTCAATCCCCAAATCAACAAGGGTCTGAGGGAAGCAGAACTACAGTGGATTGTTAATCAGAATCACAGAATCATCTAGGTTGGGAGACCTCCAAGGTCATCTAGTCCAAACTCTGACCTAACACTAACAAGTCCTCCACTAAACCATATCACTAAGCTCTACATCTAAACATCTTTTAAAGATCTTAGGGATGGTGACTCCACCACTTCCCTGGGCAGCCTATTCCAATGTCTAACATTTTCCATAAAGAAGTTCTTCCTAACATCCAACCTAAACCTCCCCTGGCACAACTTTAGCCCATTTCCCCTCGTCCTGTCATCAGGCACATGGGAGAATAGACCAACAACCACCTCACTACAGCCTCTTTTAATGTACTTATAGAGAGCAATAAGCTCGCCCCTGAGCCTCCTTTTCTCCAGGCTGAACAATCACAACTCCCTCAGCCGCTCCTCATAAGACTTGTTCTCCAGACCCCTCACCAGCTTCGTTGCCCTTCTCTGGACTCGCTCGAGCACCCCAATGTCCTTCGTGTAGTGAGGGGCCCAAAACTGAACACAGTACTCGAGGTGTGACCTCACCAGAGCTGAGTACAGGGGGATAATCGCTTCCCTAGCCCTGCTGGCCACATTCAAAATCTGAAGAATAGAGACACTTTTATTTGTTTATATTTTATCATGATGTTTTAAAATATTCTAATCCAAGTTCTACCTATTCTACCCCCATTTATCTGACTGCTATCTATACACTGTCTGCACATAATGATATAGAGGTTATAATTGTGTTCTAACATAGTTGCCCATGAAGAAGATGTATTCTTGAATACATATGCCTTTTCCAGCATCCCCCATCCCTGTGTGAAAAAATAATTATCTGCAACAGTCCCCGTTGAGACAATGGTTTTAATGAGTTTAAATGTGTTTTCTAAGGTTGTTCATACGTGGAGATTCCCTTTAAACTCAATTCTTTGTGTTAGTTTAATAAGCAAATTCAGGTTTTGCAAAAATTTAAACTCACATATCTGAACTGAGTGCTTGGCTTGGGTTGTTTATTAGAAGGTATGAGAAAAAAAAAATGATGAGAAAAAACTTGCTCCTGAAAATGTAATTGGGTTTAAGAGACCAGGGTCAAATCTGCAAAATGACACATTTGCTGAATTTTCTGATTTTATAGGTGCAAGAACTGCCTCTCTCAAATCTGAACAAATTTCAGACTATGAGTATGCTTCCAAGATATTATATCTGAAGGGTTAGTCCAATGGCAAGGTATGGCTACAAATCAAAAGAAAGATGTTTTTATACACCTTCTTTCACTATGCTCTATACTGAATAAGAAAGGATGGAATATTAAAAATTCATACATAAATCATACATTCTGGACCATATAAGATGACAGTCATATAAGATGTCCTGGGTCATATAAGATGACAACACCAAAAAAATTCAGTGGTGTAATGCAACGTTGTATTTTTTTAACACACTGAGACAGTCTAAGTTTTATTACCTAAATTGAGAGACCAAAAACTCTGGAGAACATGAACAGACAGATTATTTCTTATTCAAGGAAAGATACATTCCACCTGTGAAGGAAAAGGAAAATCTTTTTTTTACCTTCTTTACTAAATGATTCTTCAGATCCATAAACACTCATGTGGTGTAGGAAGAGTGGTGGGCATGCATCTGCCTGAAAGAAGGGCAAATGCGGATATCTTACAAGTTGGAGGAAAAGTCACATATCCCGTATTGTAGTATTTGCTCATTCTGGTTCAGGAAAAAAAAATAAAAAAATAAAAAAATAAACAGGCCAGAGAAGAGTACATGGAATCTAGTTTTGTCTACAAACATTTGAAGACTGTGGGATAGAGCAATTCAGACAGATTACACAGAAAAGTGTAGACATAGGATATGGCACTTACTAAATATGCTCAGCTGTTTGGTAACTTTTTCCGAAGCTTTGAAAAACTTTCCATTGTGGGAAAGCCATCTGATGGGTCATCCACAGTTGCTGTCTGAGAAATTCTTTATAAATATGAAAGTTAAGAACAGCCCTGAGCCTGACTGATGAAGAACCAAAAGATATGTCTACTGGCAGGGCCAAGTCTCAGACCTTTATCAGTTTCAATTTAAACAGGACCTTCAGGGAGAGTTTCTGACAGGCTTCTGAAAGCCAAAAAGAAGACAGAAAATGCTGCAATGGGGACAGTCTTCCTAAACTCTGAGTATAGATGACATTTGCACACACATATTGTGGGCATGTTAAAAATTTTAAGAACAGTCTTGGGAATAGGATGAGACGGGATTGCCTTTGTGTATGCAATAAAACGTGTTCAAAACCTTATGTTCAGATGTATAACAGCAACAGAGTTGGGGAGATTGTATGAAGAACACAAATGGAAACCCTAATAAGTTTTGTTTAAAACTTATTAAGGGTATTCAAAATACAATTTACAGTGTTTCAGTTTACAATATTTTCAGTGTACATTAAACACTTGTGTTATTAAGAAACTCTGTTGTACTTTAAAAATTGTCTGTAAACTATTAACACCTACTTTTCTGAGTTGCACCTTCAACACCTTCAGGTGCAAAGGCTTTGAGAACCCTCTGAAGAGCCAGGACTGTGAAGAGCTAAGAGTTGAAAGTGAGATAGGAAGATGGGGATTTAAGAAGCTATACAAAACATTGTCTACAACATTAAATTAGCATAACTTAGTTTGGCAAATACAAAGAGATAGTTAAACAGGAAATAATTGAAATCTGCTAGCCTAAGTCTCCATTGGTGTTCTTGGTATTTCTTTGTGGATATACATCAGTTCAGATTCAGCAGTAATGCAAAAGACCTCCTGATTTCCCCTTCAGCCTTCTTTATACCACCTTCCTTGATCACTACAGAAATCATTACGATTGTCCTGCTGCTGAATCCTGAATTCTTGATTTTCTGTAGGACATCTTTCATTTGATCCTTGTGTTGAGGCTCTGCCTTGATGCATGTTGTTAATACTTTGAGTTTAAAAGATCTTAGAGCCATTCTTAAAGAGCACAAATTCCTATTTGTCATGTTGAAACTGTAGCCCTTTCTCCTAGCTTGTTAGTTTTAACACCTCTCTTCATCTTCCAGCAGCTTTCTTCTCCCTATGGCACCCTCGCTTTCACTTCCAAAGTCCTCCACAACTTATCCTCTCTTTAAATTCATCTTTTAGGACCTAGTAATGCTCTCATGCCAACCTTTCTATTCCCATTTCCTACATTTCTAAATGAATGTTTGTGCTTTTCCCATGCCCTGTGACGAACTTCTGAACAAATGTCACCTCAGTATCATCCTTCACATCTGTTTTCCCATTGCCTCAACTTTACCAAAAATTCAAGACCCAGTTCTGTTCTTGGGAGTTTTGCTGCAAGCATGAACAGGAGCAAGAGAAAACCTCTGAAATGCTGGGATAGTGTTATAAACCTTAGGTGATGTTGTGGTTGCTATGTCATCAGTCTATTTTATTGCATATTGCTTCTCTTTCTTCTAATAAAATAATAATAATAATTAAAAAAAAAAAAAGTAAGAAGAGTAAATTCTGTTTCAAATGAGGGCTTTTCTGTGTGTGTGTGTTTAACTATGTGCAATACAGTTTTAGGAATAATTGGAAGCAGTTCGGTAGACACTAGTTTGAATTATAACCTTAAATCTGAACACCACTTATCCCTAAAATGTGAGGTTGAAGGAAAAGTTCAAGCTTTGAATCTCCTCAGGTTCTGATTTTGGATTGCATTCAAAACCAAAAGAGTCTTACTTTTCCAAATATAATTTTATGTGGTTTAGGATAGCATAAATCTCACAAGAACATCTGGGAAGAGTTTTGCTGATAGAGAGAACATGGAAGTATTATTTCTAGAGAAAGGAAAACATTATGAAGTTAATTTTTCTAAAATCATTGCCAGTCTTGACATTAAAAATGTGTATCATTTGTCCAGAAGAAGAGCAGGGTAAAAATGAGACTTCTCTGCATCATAACTGTGTCTTGTTAATTCTTTTTCTAAGTAAATACAAATTCCCTGCTGAGTAAAGCTAATGACATCCAACAGTGTCAAAAGGACAGTGCAATTAGGAAAAACTTGTGATCCTGGCCACTTTATGTGGTCTGTTCTTGTCACACTCCCTAAGCATCTGGAAAGTTGTTTTTTTTAAGGCTGCTCCAGGACCCATTCATGACTACTCCACTTAGGATGTTTGTATAGATCTGCTGGACACTAATTTCTCTAAATCATTCCTGAACCTGGTTATACTGTCTGCCTCCACAACTTCAAGTGGTAACAGGTGATAGAAGTTTACAACCCTCTGTGTAAGGATACCCTTTTCTTTCATCTGTTTTAAACCAAACTCCTAGCTTCAGCTCTTCTGAAGTCCTATTGTTGTGGAGTGTGGCAAATAGTGGTTCTCTATTTGCCTTATCCACTGACATTTACAGTTTCACAGGCTTTGAATACACCTGCCTTAACACAGTTCTTCATTCAGATGGATTAGTCCCAAAGCTGAACAGTTCCAGACTTTTTAGTGTCTCACGGTAAAATAGCTGATCCATCCCCTTGAACATTCCATTCCCTTCCTTCACTCCAGTTCCACTTGTTCTTGAGATGTGAAGATCTCTATACACTGCATTTAAGATGTGTGACCACTGAGCTTTTGCATAATTCTTTCAACAGTGCCCAACAGTTTGTTGTTGTTGTTTGTTTGGCTGCAGCAGCAAGCTGAGCTGAGGATTTCATAGTCAATGACAAATGAAATCTCTTTCCTAATCTCTAACTACCAGTTCTACATCTAGCATCATGTTGTAGGTGTATTTAAACAATTTTGTTCCCAAATGCATTCTTTCATGTTTATCTGCATTGGTATTCCTTTGCTCCTTTTTCACCCACACACTTAGTTTCATGAGATCCTTCTGAAGTTCCTTGCCATTAGCACGATATTTAACTGTCAGAAAGCTTAGCGCCAGCCTTAGTGTTAGCCTGAAGATCCACTGCACACTCCCACCACCATATTATCAATGAAGATGCTGAATAAAAGTAATAATAATAATAATAATAATAATAATAATAATAATAATAATAATAATAATAATAATAATAATAATAATAATAATAATAATAATAAATATTTTTTTTAGCACTGATCCCAGCGGGACAAAGTACTGGCTCATCTCCATCCGGAACAATCACCTTTAAGACTTGTTTGCTTTCTGTCCTTTTATCAGTTTTCACTTTGCAAATGACCTTCTCCTCCAAACTCGTGGCAACTTAGTTTCTACAATAATCTCTGGTTGTTCCAAATATACCAACAGCTTTTGGAAGCTTCAAATTATATTCCCAAATTTCACCCCACTTTATCCATGTGCTTGTTGACATGTTAACTGACACCCTCCAAGAGCTTTAGCAGGTTACTGAGCCAGAATGTCCCTTTGAAAAAGCAATGCACTTTCCTGAAAGACCGTGTTTTCAATGATTTAACTCTTTTCTTATAGAGTGTACTATAGTGATCCAACTTACCAGTTAGTAGTTTATCCTGAAGACTTTTGAACCAGACTGTTGCATTAAATAATGGTGTTTAATCTCCATAAATCTTGTTCTCAGCTTTTTATCCATATCAGGGAGATAATAAACCCTACAAATTTCCTGGCACTGTGGCTCACGCTGAAAGTGACTTTAAAATTCTGAATGGATAAGACAAAGGGAGGTCAGCTCCAATAAATGATCACACCTACTAAATTTCATTGCTACACAAAGAAAACAAAAACAAAATAAACCTCAGGAGCATTATAGTTTTGCATTAAAAATAGAATTAGCAACATAATATGAACTCATCAATCCAATCACAATTCTCACCTAATGTAGTCTTGTACAGCCCCCTATATATTCATAAGAGGTAGACTTTTTTTTTTCTATTGCAACCATAATACAACTTTCCAACTTCATTGCTTTTCCTTCACCTTTTTTCTGTCTTTCCTTTGCCAATTTTTGTCTTCCATATTTTTTATCTTTATAATTTTTCACACAGAAAAGCAGTAAAAATACTAAATTATATTACTTTAATAATATACTCCTCAGTTACTAGAAGTAATCTACCCTCCAGGTTCATTTCAAAATCAAAGTGCTGTAAAAAAATCATTAACTGCTAAAAAAAAAATAAATATATACTTTCACTAGGAACTCGGCACTAGGAACAAATCTAAGCATTCAGAAAAAACCCTTATAGTTTTGAGCTTTTACACATGCACCTGAGTAAGGTAAAATAAATGGGATATTCTAAAATTCCCATAGGGAATTAGAAAATAGGAAATAGATCTAAAATTGGACAAACATTCATGCACACGTTTACATAGGTTATAGTGAAGTTATGTGAATCAATACTCTAACAACTTGGTCTCTCTACCCTAGCTGGTGAAAATAATGATGCAGTATCCCAGTCTGTCTTTTGGGGGTTAACTTCACTGTATTTATCAGTCTTGACATTTCATCCCCACCCCCAAATGCAGTAGAAAGGTTATTAAGAACACAGCACAAATAGTCTGTATTCCCAAGAGCATACTTTAATCAGAAAGAAAAACAGTAATTGCAGGCTCTAATAGAAAGGAGCTCTGTGTGATGACAATATCACAAAGTCACACAGAAGAGTTTTGCTCCTGCTTGATGCTGAGTAGGCTTTGTGGTGCAAAAGCAAATGGATCACCTGTCATCAGCTGGGGCTGCCCTCTGGAGTCACACACAGAGGTGCAGAGGAGACACATCTCTTTCCTGCTTAGCTCCCATTAACTTCCATGGCTCTGAATTAAAAAATAAATAAAAATAAAAATAAAAATATAAAAATAAAAATAAAAATAAAAATAAAAATAAAATAAAAATAAAATAAAAATAAATAAAAATAAAAATAAAATAAAAATAAAAATAAAATGTTTCTTTTCAGGTATGAGGAATCAGAATCTATGGTACTCTTGGGGATTTATTCCCTTAATTTTCTCAGGAAACAGTCATGGAAATATGGAAATATATCTTCCATTCCTGTTCCTCCTCTGAGATTTTTCAAATTTCTTAGTTTAGTTCATAAGCCAAAAATCACTCTCACTCCATACTAATTCACTGCTTCCAAGGAAAAATCAGCCTGTATGTGAATACCTACATCTGCTGACTCCCACCATGCTCTGTTACTATGGGAGAGTTGAAGTCACATCCCACTCACTCACTGGCATCCCATTCCGTGCAGTTGCCTGTCTGCCCAGCTGCCTGCTCCCTGCCCCTGTGTGCCCAGCAACAAACCTCCCCTCCATACACCCAAGGTCAAGACTTAGGCTGGAGCCAGAGAGATGCTGAGGAGACCTACCCCTATAAACGAGCAGGAGTAAAGCCAGAGTGAGAGGCATTCTCAGTCCCTTTGGCTATTTTGTAACCTCCTCCTCTTGCACTAGAGGGATGGTAGCATACAGGTGTGTATTAACCTCCATGTAAATCATCACAGAAAAGAAAGAGAAAAGTATGGGGGCAGTAGCTCAGCCAAAATCTATACAAAAGACAGTATTTTTGATGTGGTGTGGGAATCAAAGGAGTGTGTGGTCCTGTCCCGAGCACTCCTCTAGGCCAGCCTTGTGTTGCATACTCCCCATTGCACTAGTGCATAGACTTCAGCCTCTCACATCGGATACATCCTCCAGGCTCAGCATCAGCTCCTGGTGGCAGCCCTACTAATAAGCTCACAGCCTTGCAAGCAGCAAGGGGTAGAGAGTTCATGCCATGAAGTGTAGGCCAGCAAGCAGTAACACATAAAGCAGAAACAGTTCAAGGTATTACATCTTTTCATCCAATTTTCTGCTGTGGTTGGGGTATTGGAGGCATTATGAGTTGGCTCCTCAGCTCATACTCTGGTCCAATGACATCAGCCAACCTTATTGACCTCTTTGCTCACATCAGCTCCTAGAGCTGATGACTTGAACAAGGATAGAGAAGGGGGGAACTAGGAGGTTACACCTTGACTCTTATCCTGAAGGATGGATCTCTTTCCCCCATCTTTGATATCTACTACTAGATTACCCAGTTTAGCTGATTGGAAAGAAGTTACATGCCTCTGTAGTTTTGCCCCTCTCTTTTATTTGTTTCCAATTTTGTGACTTTTTGGTATTTTCCTGCTGAATAATAAATAAATAAATAAATAAATCCTCATTATTTATTTATTTATTTATTTGTTTTTTAAATCTAGCATTTCTAAGTGCAGCTCACCATCAGCCTCAAGACGAGGGCTCTCTAATTGTGATTCAGTTTATATTATCCTATAAGCTGATAGACTCTTCCCACTGCTGAAATTCTCAGGACATCTCTCTAATGTGGCTTCTGCTGTAGGCTCACAGCTCTGGATGCTGTGAGGTATACACCAACAGAGCTGACAGCCTAAAAAAAACAAACCATGTGTTACCTTAGCAGCAGTACAAAACCTATTAAAATAAGTGCTCATGAAGTAGTCACTCCCACTGTTTGACTGGAGAGTATAATGAGACTACTTTAGCCTAAACTTTATCAGTGTCCAGTAAAAATAAAATAAAATAAAAATATATAAAATAAAATAAATAAATAAAAAACAATGCTGTAATAAATAAGCTTGAACTCCAGTCTCCAGGTATTCGGTGACATTATGATGAATTTCACCATTCACAAGCAATCTACTTCTCTCTTTGCCAAAGTTTCTCCACCGTATTTTCAGGCCCAAAATCATGGTCATCAATAGTTTATTAATTTAACTGGTGATACTTAAAATAACCTGGGGATATAATTTAGCTGTAGAGCTCCAGACTTTAAAAATGAAGCTCTGTTGAGAGTGGCTATAAGTAATCATTACTCAAGTAGAATATTCAGCTCAGAATTAAAAGGTTTTCTACCTTTTCCTGGTATAGTTTCATATCAACCCTAAAATAAGCCCTCCATGTAAACTACAAAAATTGCAGCATGCATTGTTTGCATTTGATTGACACATAATATTTAAGCTAGAAAAAAGTGTACTTTTTAGGTCTGTCATGGTACCTTATATCAACAACAACAACAAAAACAAATAAAAAAAAAAATATCAGAACATTTTGCCTGTGTACTATATAAAAAATATATAATATGAATGTGTAATATAAATATTTATACCACATTCACTTAAACTCAATCCATGATATATATTCAGCTTTAAATGCATAAATTTTGTTGGAGAAAGGATATCTTCCAGGGTAATTTTTCAGTAGCCCATGCCTACTACAGAATGTTTTTTGCCCTCTTCTTACTCTGTCCCAAAGGGAAAGAACATGATGGTCAAACATGGAATTAATTATTCCAAAGCCTAATTTATTATTGAAAGCCTAATTTGTTGATAACAACACACTAATCTTTTCTAAGTCACAGACAAACAAAACAGCATCACTAATTTCAGTACCACAAAGCATTATCCAAACTCTGTTGGAGATAACCCCAGGAGTTTTCATATCTGCAGTAGTTTTTGATCCTATCTTTGACTGCACTCTAGTTGGTCTTCTTATGTATTGATTACTGCCCTCCCAAATTAGATCTCTGTCATCACACTTTTAATTATAGGGTTTTAAAATTAATTAGTTGCATTTAATCTTTCCTTTTCCTTTTCCTTTTCCTTTTCCTTTTCCTTTTCCTTTTCCTTTTCCTTTTCCTTTTCCTTTTCCTTTTCCTTTTCCTTTTCCTTTTCCTTTTCCTTCTTCTTCTTCTTCTTCTTCCTCTTCTTCTTCTTCTTCTTCTTCTTCTTCTTCTTCTCTCTCCTCCTCCTCCTCTTCTTCTTCTTCTTCTTCTTCTCCTCCTCCTCCTCCTTCTTCTTCTTCTTAAGGCTTCATTAAACAAATGGATAGAGCTCATTTCCAGTTAGTGTCAGAGGATTGTACTGCCCTGCTTACCATCCTGATTTTGGGTGGAAAAACCATCCCCTATCATGCAGCAGCATCTGGAAAAATCATATGATACAATGGACTGTTAAAAAAAGTACACAGAGAGCTGGTACATTCAAGCACTGAGCAGAAATCTAGTAAAATCCTCTTGGTTAGTTAACACTAGAGGATCTGCCAATCAAGCTGGTCCTGCCCAGTCAAAACCCTTTTGTATTGTAGAAGAAGATAAAGCCCCTGTAGTGCATGTGAAAAACTATCTGAGAAAGACAGTAGGGGGTTATTCCTGCTTCAGGAAAAGGCAAACCTATACATGGGATTCCTTTTGCTCAATGACCTGTGTGTACTTGGTGGGTAACATAGAAGGGTGAGGAATTTTGAGGTGTACTTCAAGGGGATTTCATTTTGAGTGAGAACAGCCCAAGATTTGAATTGCATGATGCCAATTGTTTTATGATGCTGTATGCCATCACTGCTATGGCTGTTAGACATCATGTCAATGGTATTACGGTAAGAGTTGCACAGACTAATGAAGAACTAATCTTGTAAGGACACAGACAAGTGCAATGATGGTGGAACCGAAGCTGGCTTTAGTATACAACTCTCCAACACCACCAACAATTGTTCCTGTCCTGAAGAACCATTATGATAGATGGAGCCTGAAATCATGGACTAAAGGAACTCAGTGGACATTTTAGAGGGAAGGTAATTATAGCTGTGCGTATGTATCAAAGGACAGGAAGGGTGGTGGTGATTAAACAGGATGTATTGGAAAGAATAGGACCTGAATATGACATAAATGGTATAGAATTGTGAATGGAAACTGTCCTGGTTTTGGCTGGGATGGAGTTAATTTTCTTCATAGCAGCTGCTATAGTGCTGTGTTTTGGATTTAGGATGAAAATAATAGTGACAGCACACTGATGTTTTAGTTGTTGCAGAGCAGTACTTACACAGAGCCAAGGACTTTCCAGCTTTTCATGCTGCCCTGCCAGCGAGGAGGCTGGGGGTGCACAAGAAGCTGGGAGGGGACACTGCAAGGACAGCTTGCCCAAACTGACCAAAGGGATATTCCCTACCATGTGTCATGCTCAGCAATAAAAGTTGAGGGAGCTGGCTTAGAAGGTTGTCATTGCTCAGGGACTGACTGGGCATAGGTTGGATGATGGTGAGCAATTGCATTGTGCATAATATTTTTTATTATTTTCCTTGCTTTTATTTTTATTTTTATTTTTTTCCTTTGTTATTAAACTGTTGTTATCTTAACTTAAAAGTACTGTCTTTTTTACCTTTTTTTGGCGTTCTCCCACGTCCCATTGAGGGGAAGTGAGCGAACAGCTGTGTGGTGCCTAGCTGACTGCTGGGTTAAACCACAACACTTACTTTGGCTGAAATGGAGACTTTCTTACTCCCCATTTCTCAGATTGCCCAGCTTTTGCTTTACAAATATGTGTATCTTTTACTAACAAATGTCACGTACCATGTCTGCAGAATGCTAGATAAATTCTTGAGGAAAATATTAGTTTGTTGAAAACTATTTTGCACTGACCAACAAAAGAGGTTACCAAAGAGATATGAATATTTTAAGTAATACTTCATGGATCAAATACAGTTACTTAATATATTAAATGTCATTTAATGCTGTAAATACTCTTAACATAAAACTCCCACATATACAATCTTTCATGTGAACAATTAGAAGATACAGCTGGGCCCCACGAAATGCCTTCAAAGGTTTTTGCTCATTTTGACTCAAAAATATCCAAATGATACTTATCTCAAAATGTTTATTCTTCAGTCTCTTTATGAAATCCACATTTTGTTGGACAAAAGGGGAACTCAAAATAACAGTCATCTGATAATATACCTATGAAAATAAATGTTTAGTTGAGTTGAATATGGAATGGATGCAAATGCACTCACAGAATAAACAATTTAATTTTTCTCCTTAGGAATGGCCTTGCAAAACTGACTTTTTGCTCCAAGCAGTAATAATTGAGTCATCATTATGACTAGTTCAAAATTTAAAGTGTTTCTGACTTCCCACACAATGCAAGTCATGGAAGGTAATAGGCTCTATCTTGGTAACCAGCCAGTGAGCTCCAGTGAAGGTCATCCAGTCAGGCAATGCTATTTTTGGTGGCTCAGCAACACCAAACCACAGTCATTTTCAAAGAAAGCAGACCTAATAAATTCAAAAGGTAAGGACTGGAAAGGGAAACTAAGTCACTCAGATTGTGGGAGAGAAATGTGAACACAGAGCAGCCAGCTGGGGTTCAGAGGGAGCCTACTTCAACTGCTCAGTGACAAAAAACAACAACAACAACAACAAAACATAAAATTATAAAAATACAATAAACCTTTGTATTGTTCTCTCTCTTTATCAGCTCTATTGAGTAACATCATTTTTCAGGGGAAGGCAGTGAGCAGGGGATCTAAAATACTATTACTTCAGCACACACACAGAATGAGATAATAAAGTTGTGTTTTTTTCTTGGAGGGTAAGTGCAGGATTGCTTCCTGTGGCTGAGGGACTGGGCTCTCTGTCTTATAGGCTTTCTAAATGTCTTACTTTGTATGCGGCTCTTCGTGACAGCCTGCCCTAGTTGCGGCCTGACAGATATGTCTTGCAGTGGAGCAACTTTCAAGAAAAAATAGTATCTATTTTATATATGTTATTTATGGGTTGGAGCCATTAAAACTTGGAAGAGAGCAGGCTCAAAGGACTGTTTGCATTCCCATCAGAAGCATCTGGCATTTTTACCATTGTTCTTCACAACACTGGAGGACAAGAACAGTAAGAGAGAAGCACTGCAGTTCTGTAATGACAAGATGAAACTGTATTCAGGAGAGACATGGAAGTAGCTATCTGAGGCCTGAGGGTTTCAGCTAGAAAGCCAGACTTAAGTTTACATTGATCGGGTATTTTTCAACACGGAGAAGACGCCACTCAAGCAAATTAGAGAAGGGAGGGAGGAGAGAGCGTATATCTGGAAAATGTGCAGAACTCATTATAATTGTATCTGTGCGTATATTTGCTAAGCCAGATGTGTATATTAGGCTAGATATGCTTTAGGGTTGTTTTGCACCAATAATTCTTTAAACATTATTCTGTTTCTATACGGCAACTCTGTCCCTTCAACGTTTTTAAGCCACCATTTCTTTGACAAATCCATACTAAATAAATAATTCACTGCTTTGAGGCATTTAGTTTAAGGAGAGTGAAAACTATAGCCTGTTAGTGAAAGTTGCAAGGATTTCCATTTTCCAGCATTATAAATAACTTAACAGAGCCATACAGCAAGCAGTCACTTCTGAAGTCATATCTACATGCACAACTCCAGTTAGTGTGGACGATGGTGCTATGTGCATGCATGAAGAATGGAAAAATATCTACTTTCTATAGTCTGACTCAATAAGTTGTGGGTTTTTTGTTTTGGTTTGGTTTGTTTTTTTGGTGTGTTTGTTTGTTTGTTTTTTGTTCAGGCTTAATAACCTGATGCTGCACAGTCCTGAGATGCTATTTAAAAGTCCCTGAAGTAGATCTTACATCGTTATTAGATTGGCACATTACAGTTATCAGCGGTTATTCAGAATCCAAAAAATCGTGTCTGAAGTCCCATAGGCTTCGTGCTGATTACTGGGATAAGTTGCTGAGAGGGAAAGAGAGAGAGGAATAGAAACTGCAATGAAAAGTGCTCAGTCAGAGGCTGAAATAAGATTTGAATGAGAGTATGAACTCCTGATCTTCACTTTTATCTTGAGATTTGCACCCCTTTCATGAAACCCACTACACTTAAAACACTGCTTCAAGATAACTGTTTCCACTTAGCTTGTTTGCTATCTAAAGTTGATTGACTTCTTGGTTAGCCCATATCACATTCACTGGAGGCCCCACAGCACACTGGGAGTGTCACCATTGGGGACTCTTGTTTCATGGGAACTGGATTTCCTAGGAAAGGGATCTGACTTACACCTGACTTACCTTCCTTATTGAAAGGCATCACAGTAACTGATGACAAGCAAGGGATCAGAAAGCAGTAAATTTAAGCCTTTTCACATCATGAATTATTTTCTTTTCTAAGTGAAGTTGTTGAAGATCCTGATCCTTCTCCTGGTCCAGTGAACAAAGCCATGGCTCTGAATCCAGATTCAGACTGATATAGATATTTACAGGTATATCTCTATAGCTATATATATATAACTATATATATATATAGTTATATAGATATCCAGCTACGTCTGCATAGATATATCCAGATATGTACATTCCTTCCTGACCAAGTGATTGTGGACAGTGGGTATTGTAGTTCAAACTTTTGCTGGTTGCTCCAATAATTCAGCCAAGTTAAGGAAAGTGACTTTCTCCCCAGACTAATAGTATGAACAAAACCAAAGCAATATTGCTAACTACCCATCATATCATAAAACTGTACAGCTGAATCAGCAGGAATGTGACTGGATTTCATAACAAGCCTCTTTGATTCTTTGTTTATTTGAAGACTTTTAATCTAGATTACTGTTAAAGGAAATTAAATTAGTATTAACCTTATCTATGAAAATGATGCTTCAAAAAGGTAAGTGTATTTCTTTTGGCATGCATGGGAAAAAAAAATCTGATATGGGTAAATCTCACCAATGTGTAACTCTACTGAAAAACTTGTAGATTGTCAAAGGGAATTGTACTGGATGAATTAAAAGAAATAAGTCCTTGGATATGCTCAGAGATGAGTCTATGATACTATTCTAGTTCTAAATTATACCTAGGCAGATACACAGCATGGAAGGTCACCATCATGTTGGATAGACACATATTTGAGCAAAACTGACATGGTGATGTGTAGATTATCAGATTATCTTTTCATGAACTGGCTACTATTACCAGCTGTATCTAGTTTAAATGATTAACTGAATAGAAAGAAATTAGATAAAAGAACATTTAATAAAAAAACAACAGTTTATTAGTAACTATGAAACTGAGGTTGATTTCCTAGGTTCTTATTGCTTTTTTATCAAATGGAAGGAAAAGAAATGGCTCATGTTATTATTGTTTGCCTAACTTTGCTCATCTTACTGATGTTTAACATTTTATAAGGGCTGGAAGTTGTCTCTTTGTCCCCACAGTACATCTATCATATCTGGGTTTAAGACATACCCTACTGAATTATTGTCTGACTTGGCTTTTCATGGGTACTGTCTGAACACTTGGTTTGCTTCTAATGTTCAAAATAATTTAAATTGTCTTTGTTTTAATGAATGTGGGACATTACCTGTCTTCAACATATTTGTTTACTAAATCCAGATCTATTCCATAATTGTTTCTAAATCAATTAATTTATCTAACTATCCATCTATGGTAAAATTTCTGTCATTGTAAAACTGTAGGTCACATGTTTATTTAAATGTGTAGTGTGTCTCACGAACAGGAAAGGCAAGCACTTATTTAGCTTATAGCTAATTTGGAACCTGTTTGAATCTATAAATGAGATGTAACCAACAGATAAATGCTAGTTTATCCTTCTATACTCCATGTAGAGTGTCAGTTGTAGCCACTGAGAACTGTGACATGGTAGCTAAAATTATATTTTTCTAAAATAATATCAGTGACTTCCCCTATATGTTTTGCCAGCTCTGTAACTCTCCTTTAGGGGTACTGAAGCGTACTTTGCAAATTTTGGTTCTCTCAGATGTAATTGTCTGGTAAAAGATGGATCAAGACAAGATTGGCACACATAAATGTGATTTCTTTTTATCATGCCAGATTATAAGTAGAAATTACAAATGAACATTTCATACACCGTGTTTCAATGGTATATTGTGCACCTGTATTTCTGAACACCCCCTTCGGATTTCCTGAGTACAAAAAGGAAAACTTTCAAATGAAAAATAGAAAATCCAACAAGATTGAG